AGCCAGACATGCTGGCTAGGGAATTCTGGGAGTTGAAGTCCATACATCTTAAAGTTGCTGAGATTGAGAAACTTCGGCCTACTGCTTCCCACTTTGAGGCCTTGGTGGATGGCATAGAGATTTCCTTTTGCAGAAGCTTGTTCAGCCAACTCTAGCTCAAAATGAAACTACACCCAGGTTATGCGACGGGCCATGGGTGCTTGCTGTCTTGGGTCCCTGACCTACTGCCTCCCCGCTGCCACATTACATTTTCTTTTAATTTTGTAAAGAGCCAAATTTCCAAATCAAGCAAGAAGTGGATTCAGACCACCGAATCAAACATAATCCCTTCAAATGCACTTGGATAGCTTCTCTGTACTTTTCCTCCTAATCCATTTGGAAGTTCAAATGGAATCAGTTTAATGATCTGATCTGGACACAGTGTCAAGGGGGAGGAAAGAATGGAAAAGAGACTCTGAGAGCTTTTGAGAGCAAAATCAGCAAGCAAAAATTTCAGGTCTCCTCTGAGATAGTAAGAGGAAGGATTGATGGAAGGACCCTGTAATAATTACAGGTAGTCCTCACTCAACGACCACAATAGGGAGCAGGAAATTTGTTGTTAAGTGGGGCACCCGATTTTACAACCTTTTTTGTGGCAGTTAAGTGAATCATGCGGTTCCCCATTGATTTTGCTTGATAGAAGCAGGGTGGGAAGGTCTCAAATGGTGATCATATGACCCTGGGATGCTGCAATAATTGTAAGTGTGAGCTGGCTGCCAAGTGATCATGTGACCACAGGGCACTACGACAGTCGTAAGTGCGAGGACCAGGCACAAATTACTGTTTTAGCACTGCTGTAACTTTGAACGGTTGCTAAACGAATGGTTGTTAAGCAAGGACTGCCTGTAACAGCAAGAAAATAAATGCAAGACTGAAACTATTATCTATAACTAATACTTTGATGTGAATTGCAATGGATCTTTTTTTTTTGTTATATCTTATATCTTTTTGTTATATCCTATATCAACTTTGGATGAACAGTTAAATAAACTTATGCTTGTAGCACTGACATCCTAAATGGCAATTAATACTGATATAATTTTTACTTTTCTCTTTTTATTTTCAATACCGTAGGCTTTTAAAATAATATTAACATTCTGTTATGTTAATCATATTATATAAACATTACTGCACTGAAATCCGCATTGAAATAATACAATGTATCAAGATTTATAACATTACAATAAAAGGGGAAAAAATATAATAAATGCTTCCACTCTTCCATTTCCTCTTTCTGTCCTGGAAACCAGAACCAGGCTTCCTTCTTCTTGTTGAACAAAGAATTTGAGCAAAAAATATGGATGCAAAGGCTGAATTTTACATAAACTCATTTGCCAGGGACTCCCCCGATCATTTAATCTTCATGGTAAAAAACCTTCTCTGTTTATCACCTAGAAGATCCTTGATTAAACCATTCAAAGTACTAATTAGTCAGTCTGAATTGCCCTCTTTGGAAAGCCACTCCCACAACACCACTTAGTCTTAACATTTCCTGGTTTTGGAAAACCTGCTTTGTGTTCAGACAGCCAGCAAAGAGAAAAGGCCCGATTCAGATGTAGGCATCCTCAAAGATTAAGGTTTGCTGAGTTTATTTACCTAACTCTCTCCTTTCTCCTCCTTTAAAATGTAAGTTGAGTTAAGAAAGTCAATGTTTTATTTCCTCTGAAAAAATTAGTTTATTTAAATCTACATTTAATCCTTGTTTTAAAAAGTAACTTATTGTTTCTCATTTATTATTATATTTTATATACAAAAATAAAAGAAGAAAGAGGAAAAAGGGAAAAAAGCCCCACAAAATTTTAATACTCTCATATGCTAACCAAAATTGTGGGGTTGTGTGGGTATGAGTAATGTGTGAATATCTACATCTATCTATATGCATTTTTTAAAACATTGATGTCAGTTTACTTAACAGTTTAGGGAAGGGGAAATTAAACTTATATCTTAGTATGTGAAATTTCTAAAGACTCTTCTAATCAAGATGACCTGCAATAAAATGCTTGTTCAGATGGAGAAAGGGAGCCAAGTTTTTTCTGTTAATTCCAAACCATTGGTGTATTATTCAAGAGAATATGGACATCTGCAAAACCTAAGCATCTTCCAGAACGCAATTAATATGTGAAATCATTTCTCTCCAAGTAGAGTTAGTATGGCGCAGAATCACATGATCTGAATTAATGTTGCATTTTGATCACCGCTGAACCCATCTGTGTAGTCTTTTTGTCCAGCTTGCATGAATGATTTTAGCCTAGCGTCAGACTGCTGGGTGTACACGCTTATCAGAAGATTAAAGGAAAGCTCCAGGAAATGGGTCTGGTGCTGCATTTGCATAGCCTTATTACCTATGGTTAACTGAACCATAATTTTCCAGGTCAGGCAATATGAAGATTCAGTCTAAAGGCAGTTTGATTGACTCTGAATTAAGTCAGTGCTCTGAACACGCAGTCTGAATGGTTAGATAGAATTCGATGAATTGATTCTGATCAGCTTCTGAATCAATTCAGAGGGTCCTGGACTTTTTTCTGAATTGATGTGCAAATCCAAATGGAATCCATCTAATTTGATGAATCTTTTCATATATCCAGGCGGATTAGATCAATTTTTCAAATCAGGGGGACTGTTCAAAGCAGAATTACCCCCATTGCCTGGATTCAGAGGATTGCTACCAGATCAAAGTTTAACAATAAGGGAAGAGTTCATGCAACCAGCCAGATTCAAATCTGCTGGGTGAGTTAGAGGATCCTAGCTGATCTGTATTATTATAATTAGTCCCATGAGTCATTTATTTCTAGGATATATAAAAAATGGGGCTGGAATCTACTTACCTATATGCAGATGGAGAAGCTCTCAATTGCTCACGGCAGCCAAAATATGTAGCAAAAGGGATGGGATTGGATGAAAAAAGGGATTTTCTGCCCCCTCCCCGTAACATTCTTGCACCCAGAATTGTAGTGGGCAAGAGGCACGATTCATACAATAGTCCAGAAAAATGGGGCTCAAATTCCTTGAGGTGGTGAGCAGCCTTAATCCTGGATATCATTATTGTGGTTGAAAAGGGCCATGAAGTCAATAATTCCCCAAACCTTCAGATAAACTCCAGAAAGGGAAGAGCAAAAGGAGAGTGCAAATCTAGGTGCTTCAAGAAATCTGACTGCATTTGCAAGATGGTTGTTGGATTTGACATCATTTTGTATTCATTGGTGAATTAACTGAGTGATAAGAAACTTTGGTCCCTGTTTAATCATTGAGAAAGAATGTCAATAATGTGATCTGAATTCCAACTCTGCAGTATCAGATGGAAATAATATCCTTTGTTCAAGGACAGCCGCTTTGAAATCAGCCACAGAATATCCTGGGGAGTACAGTAACAGAGCATTCATTATAACATATGCATTGAGTTTAAAGTTTTCTATAAATGTATGTAAACTTAAAATAAGAGCAGATGTCTATTTCCTTCTCAGCCCACTTGATATACTTTTTCCTTGCTCTTTACAAACAGCAGCACTGAGATAACTTCTCCGTGTTTAAGTATGCCAAAATCAGTAGCTTTTTCCTACTCATTTTAATATCTGCTTCCATGTGGATCTCCAATATGTGTGCATGTTTCTTTTAAACAAAATGATATTAAAAAAAGAGAAGTCACCTTTGAGTGGAGTCCAACTCCTACATGAACAAATCCATGTAGCTTTCTTGGCAATGATAGAGAAGAAGATCGTCTGGGATTTTATTTTTGAAACTACCCTTGGAATTTTCTAAAAGTCTTCTATCCAACACTAACTAGATCCAAACGTCTTTAAAGGTAAAGTCCTTTTTTAGTTGAGCTTGACTCCTGTAGTTTTCTTGGCAGCAGTGTGGAAGCGTCCCTTACTCCAGCAGGCTTTTTTCAGTCTCTCCACATAGCCTACAACCCTGGGATGTCCTCTCACTGTCCCATTCCAGTTGTTAACCAGGGCTGACCCTTCTTAGCTTCCTAGATCATCTAAGGTGCTCCTGTAGTGGAGGTCATAGGCAGGACAATCCAGCTTCAAGTCTATTTGCTGAGTGACAGGGAGAAAATGTCAAGGTTTTATAGCATTAACATTATTTTGATACCACCATACAAGAAAGTAGAGCTAATACTCACACTTATCCACCCTTCCCAAATTGTACCAGTGAGATCTGATCTTCAAAGGCATTCACCCCTGTAGCAGTGATGTCTGTAACCAACTGCTTTCCTTATCAGCAACTCTGATCCTTTTGCTGGTTTTCAACATCATGTTTTATCTGAAGATCCCTGTTTGCAGGAAGAGCCTCATTTGTCTATCAGGTAAATATAATAGATGAGACGAGAGTCAGGTTGGTGTAGTGGTTAAGGCATCAGGCTAGAAACAGGGAGGCTGTGAGTTCAAGCCCTGCCTAGGCATGAAGCCAGCTGGGTGACCTGTCTCTCAGCCCTAGGAAGGAGGCAAGGGTAAACCACTTCCAAAAACATTGCCAAGAAAACTTCAGGGACTTGCCCAGGCCCAGTCAAAAACTGACTTGAAGTCATGCGCACACAAATATAATAGCTAGATTGGAGATCACCTCCTCTCCCCTTCTCCCTAGCTGCACCCCATGGCCATCTGGGAGCCAATAGATTCTTTCTGATTCAGAGGGAAAAGCCCAGACCAAGTTGAAAAGCCCAAAGAAGGTTTTTTTTGACTAAATATTAAGAGAATTGCAGAAAAAGAAAGATATCCCAATCCATACCCTTTCAGCTCATCAGAACCACATAGAAGAAATAGTAGCAAATGGGCCTCCTGGAAGTGGCTGATAGTTGTGCAGCTTCCACCTAGGACCTTGAGTCTACATTGGAGTTCACACTGTTTGAAGCGTTGACCAAGTCACTGATAAGATGTGCTACCAAGCTATCTCTAAATATGATCAATTATGTTTCTGTCCCTTAAGAAAATTATGAAATGTGGCAAAGGCCCCAGACCATCTGAAACTTGGTGTAGACAAGTTCTAGAAGGGTAAGGTGAACTATCCGGTAGGTCTTGTGGGTCCATCCTTTGCCATTTCTTCTTCATTGGTTCCTAGGAAGCTGAAGTGATATAGTCTAACATATATTTTCTTTTTTCTCTGTAACTCTCTTCATATCTCTTCAATAAAATCCTTTGGGGCCTTTCAGCCTAGCTTCAGCCTCTTGTCTCTGAATCCTAAAGAACCAATCAGCTCCCCTTTTATTTTTCCTCTTTATAAATTCTTTTCGGAGCAATGATTGTTATGAAGTTTGGTCCATTTGTCCAGCCTCATAGCTACAACCACCATCCAGCCATCCCTTACTGAATTATAGAATTGTGGAGTCAGGAGGGACCAAAAAGCTCATCTTGTGCAACTTTCTTCAAGGTGCAGGAAAACCAGTGAAACCATTTGTGAGACATGGGTGTCCAACCTCTTCTTAAAAAAACCCAAAGAAGTAAAAATAAGGAAGGGAGAGGTCTGCTAGAGCCCCCCTAATCAAAGACATTCAACTAAAGGCATGGCCCTTTCAATAGGGGCCCCATCTCTTACACGTCAAAGGGGGAACAATGAGCTACAGGAAGCAGCCTTCAGAGGCTTTTTCTCTGGGAGGCAGCACATAAGTATCTCGGAATAAATACTACGCCTTTTCCCAAACTCTATGAAAAATGCAGACTCCATACCAAATGGTGATGGAAGGCAAGAGATTAAATTGAACATCTCTGCATTTCTTATGTAGGTAGCCCTTGGTGAACAATCACTTGTTCAGCGACCGTTCAAAGGTACGACGACACTGAATAAGGGGGACTTACGACTGGTCCTCAAAGTTCCGGCTGTTCTAGCATCCCCACAGTCATGTGATTGCCATTTGGGCACTTGGCAACCGGCTTGCACTTACATTGGTTGTAGCGTCTTGTGGTCACCTGATCACCATTGCAACCTTCCTTGCCAGCTTCCCACAAGCAAAGTCAATGGGGAAGCTGGCAGGGAAGGTCGCACGTTGCTTGGGTAAGTCTCCTGTGCCTGGCAGCAACCACTGCAAGACTCACTGTGCTCATGCCACACCACACCAGCTCCTTGCGTGCCCTCCCTTGCCTGGCAACAGCCACTTACCCGCCTGGCAGCCTGCTTGCAACCCACAAACTTTGGTTGTTGGAAGTCGACAGGAAGTTGGAGGAGGTCCTCACTTAACGATGTATGAACCTCATTTAACAGTGGCAATGGGGACTGTTGGGATTGCTGTCGCTAAGCGATGTGATCATTTGACATCATGCTTTACGACTGCATTGCTTAGCGACCGAAATCCTGGTCCCAGTTGCCATCATTAACTGAGGACTATCTGTATTTAGAAAAGAGGGAGAGAGACATACAGAAAGAGATTGAGGGAAAAGAGCAGAAGGTAAATTATGTAGTATGACTGGTTCCTTCTACACTCCCTTATGCGGTGTTGTTTAGGCAGTTATTTCATCAGGCACTAGATCAGGGCAAGGGAATTTGAACACCCATTATCCATTAAGAGGAAAAAACCACACACAAAACCTAAGAGCTAATCTTAACATATCCCTCCCTTCGTGCCACCTGAAGCCAAGGTGCTAAATAAGTACTGTAAATATTTAAAGATCCCCACCCCCTGTCAAAAAAGCAAC